GTAATATGCCAAGTGGTTCATGAGATATTTTGCTAACAGATACATTGACATCAAAAGTAAATGGCAAAGTTCTAAAATAGATATGGCACATGTTTGTTGGGAATGATTGAATGAATGAATGAATGAATGAATGAATGAATGAATGAATGAATGAATGAATGAATGAATGAATGATACTTTATTAATCCCATGAAGGTAAATTACAGAGAGAAGCATCATTCATATATCCAAAATTTAGCTCAATATCTGTCAAGTCCTCAGGGCTTTAGCTGTTTTTGTGYAGCTGGGCATCTTCACTGTGCTGACTCTAAATGAGTTGCAGTTATACGCTCAGTGATTGCTGTCTGACAGTTTCTTTGAACAATATATTGAGATATTTTGCTAACAGATACACTGACATCAAAAGTAAATGGCAAAGTTCCAAAACAGATATGGCACAATCGCGTTGGGAATGAATGAATGAATGAATGAATGAATGAATGAATGAATGAATGAATGAATGATACTTTATTGATCCCATAAAGGGAAATTACAGAGGAGAATCATTCATATATAGAAATTTTAGCTCAATATCTGTAAAATTAACAGAGCTTTAGCCCTTTTTGTGTAGCTGTGGCAGCCATCTTCCCTGCATAGACTCCAAACGAGTTGCAGTTATGCACTCAGTGATTGCTGTCTGACAGTTTCTTTGAAAAATATCATGAGGTATTTTGCAAATGGTGGAGAAAAGCAAACRCAGAGAGACCCAGTGGCGAGCAAATATCATGCATTCTGCACCACACTGCTGCTTTGATGTATCACACACTGAATTTATTGTACATTTATGGGTGCAGACTGTAATTACTGACTGGAATATTCAGTGGACCTTAACTTGTACACTTTGTCCCTGCAGTTTGATGATCTAAAAATTGCATGTCACCAACATGTCTCCCTGTGTTAGAGAATCTAATTCATCACACACCAGGAGAGCCATCGTCACAATAAGTAATCAGTCACAAATCATTTGTAGCGCCCGGTTCTGAGAAAAATAAAAAGGCTGCTGCAATTTTAAAAGTTCTGTGGGTTGCAATAAGAAAATATTTTTATGGCTATTTTCTTGAATGTATTTGTCATTTGTAAATGTACGTAGGTGGTTGAGAATGTAAACCAAAGGTGATGTGAATAATATATATAAAGGGCACCATTGTTATGAAGCATTCAGCAAACACACTTCTGTCAAATCATAAAAAAATCAGTGAATTTGCAAGTTTTATAAAGAGAAAAGGCAACATCACTGCTGACCTTGCCAGGGGCAACACTCTAAAGCCATTTAAGATGAGATTTATGATTTTAATAAGAAAAAATGAGATTATTGAACAGCAAATGATAGATTTTTAAGGGGTTTTATGAGTTTCAGCTTATTCCTCTTTTGCTGTCCATCCATCCATCCATCCATCCATTTTCTGTACACGCTTCTTCCTTTTCAGGGTCGCGTGGGTCACTGGTGCCCATATCCAGCAGTCACAGTGCAAGGGGCGGGGTACACCCTAGACAGGTTGCAAGTCCATCACAGGGCCACACCGTACCTTATCTTACCT